ATATCGATCCCACGAGGAAGGTGTTTTGTAGGAGAAAATATAAAATCGGTTCTTATGTTGTGTGCGTGACAAGTAGGAGTGATAAGTGAATGTGATTGTGGAGAGATAGAGAGAGTGGAAGTGATAGTGTGTAAATCGGCACGAGATATAAGTGAGAGTGGATGTGACAAAGAATGAATATGATCAATAAGGCAAGAAGGAAAAGGAAAATAAAAATCAAGAATAAAGAAAATAAAATTCAAGAATAAAAGAAAATGCAAGAAATTAAAGATGGTGGATTCAATTATAGATATGGGTAATCTAAAATTGAACCCACTTCTTAGAAAAGGGTGATTCCCTAGAGGGTTCTAGCCTAAAGGCGAATCAAACAAAATAAAAATAAACAAAAAGAAAAACTAAACCCAAGAGGGTTCTTGCCTCAAGGTGAATAGTATAAGAAATTAAAATCTAACTACAAAATAAATTGCAAAATCTAAACTACAAAATAAAATTACAAGAATTAAATGCAAGAAAATTAATCTATTCTATAAGCATAAAATAAATCTAAGGCAAGAGGGTTCTAGCCTCTTGGCTAATTAACAAGAAAATAAAATCTAACTACAAGCATAGAAATAAATCTAAACTAATAAGCAATAAAAGAGAAAAAGAAAGAAATGCAAACCTTCAAATAATTCTCCATCTTCATCTTCATCTTCATCATCCAACAAAGAGAAGAAGAGAAAAATTTAAAGTGGTGAAAAAATTATTATTATTAATTGCAACAAAAGTTACAATTTTGGAAGGCCTTCTCAATTAAGAGTAGCCCTCCTCTCCAAAAGGAGTTACAAAAATTTTCACACCTCTAACCCCTCACTCTCTACCCCTATTTATAGTAAACATCAGTGAATGAGAGATGCGGGCATCGATGCCCCTATCGATGCTGGCATCGATGCCTGCCTGCTTCTAGCTGCTGTCCGCAGAACTCCACTTTCATTGGTTCTTGGGCTTGGATCTTGGGCTTTTGCTTGGGCTTTTGCTTGGGCTTTTGGGCTTTGATATTTCTTTTAATCCTTCATCTTAGCTTGGGCTTTTGGATAAATTGGACATTGATTTTCCAATTGGCTTCTTGATTCATTTCTTCATTTAATCAATGGGTTTTTGTTGAGAGATGGGAAGTTGAGATTTATTCTTCATTAACCTGCAATTAAAAGATAAAAATAATTATTAGTGGTATATTTATTCATATAAAATAGATAATGAGGGTATAAAATTGTAATAAAATGTGATTATCAGGGAGAGAGCATAGTATGGGGCAGAGAGTTTAATTTTTGAATTTTTGTAACAAGAACAGATGAGATGTTTTAAATTGCCAACTCCTCTGCAAAAAACCAAGGCTTTATCTCTAACCAGTATCAATTGTTTCCATATCCATGAGTCTCCAGCTCTTGCACTAACTTGCCAAATATTCTTATATTTTAAGTAGTTGTCATGGATCCGTTTAATTCACAATAACTCCTTGTTGACGTGTATGTACCATAGATTTCTCAGAGCAGAGGCTACATTCTAGTTAAGAGCTGAAAAAATCCCTAAGCCACCTTGCTTTCTCCTCAAACACACTCTATCCCATGAAACAAGAGGAACCCTGAAAGCTTGATTAGATTTTCCCCACAAGAAATTCCTGCATAACTCATTAATTTTCTGGAGTACATTGACAGGTAGGATATAGTTAGATGTCCAGTATATTTGAACACCTAGGCTAAAACTTTTAATAATCTGTAATCTTCCAGCATAAGAGAGATTCCTGAACTTCAACCAGTTCTGGAATTAGCTTGTTATTTTTGTAAAAAAAGAGGACTGTAATCCATATATGATAACCTTTTGCATACAAGAGGAACACCCAAATACTTGATTGGCATAGCACCTTCTAAGAACCCTAGGTAATTGTAAATGGAGGCTTTGACAGAATCATTAACTCCCCCATAGAAAATGGAGAATTTATCAGAATTTGCCTCTAGACCAGAAGTTATACTAAACTCCTTGAAACATTGATAGAGTTTTTGTACAGAGTATAGATCCCCTTTGCCAAATAGAGTAGGTCATCAGCGAAAATTAGATGAGTTTTCTTAAGATTACCACATTTTGGGTGCAATTTGAAATGCATGTCATTTTTTAACAAATCCAAACTCCTTGAGAGATACTCCATACCCAGGATAAATAGATAAAGATAGAGGGGATCACCCTGACTTAGGCCTCGTTCACCTTTGAAATAACCGTGAAGAGAGCCATTAATAGAGATGGAATACTTCGGGGAGGATATACAAGTTATAATCCAATTTTTCATTACAGTAGGAAACCTCAGACCATTGAGCATGTCTTTTAAAAAATTCTAGTTGATAGTATCAAAAGCTTTCCTAATGTCGATATTGAGCATGACCCTTGGTGACAAATGTTTTCTGCCATAACTTTTAACAAGTTCATGAGATAGCAAGATGTTGCTTGATATTTGTCTACCTTTTACAAAAGCACTCTGAGCTTCATTAACAAGATACCCCATGACAAATTTGATTCTATTTGCAAAAATTTTAGAGATGAACTTGTAAAGACAATTATAACAAGATATAGGTCTGAAATTAGAAGGAGTCTTAGAAATAAGTGTTAAGGAGGTGGAATTGACCATACCCAACAATTTACCTATTCTGAAGAATTTCTCAATGGCTAGAATGACTTCATCCCAAATAACAGCCCATGCAGATTTATAGAAAGACACTATAACCATCTGGTCCTGGAGCCTTGTTGTTTGACATAGAAAAAATTACATCTCTAATTTCCTCTTTTGTAACTGGAACATAGAAATTCCTAGCTTGAGAAACATTCAGACAAGGTCCAGACTGAACGATGTTGCTGTCTGGAATAGATGTGGCAATAGCAGTGCCCATAAGGTTCTTATAAAATAAAATTAATTCATTACCAATCTCCTCTCCATTAGTGATTCTATTCCCCCATATTATTGTAGAGAACCATCACTCTATTATGGTGCCTATTGGATTTTATTACTGAATGAAAATAATTAGTGCACCAATCACCCTGTATACTCCAGGCTATTCTTGCTTTTTGTTGATAAAATGACAACTCACAGTCCAAAAGCTTGTTGTAAGAAGAAATGCATTCTTTTCTTGATTGATGAAAATAGGACTGAGAGGGTTGACTTGAAGATTCTTTTGAACTTCTTCCAGAGCAAGTCTAGCTTTTTGAACTTGTTCACTGATGTTATAGAAGTTTTTTCTATTAATATTCTTTAGGGTTCCCCTCAGTAGCTTAAGTTTAGCATAAACTGAGTACATTGTATATCTTGCAATAGATGACTGCCAGATATTTGAGACTGTGGGAAGAAAGCTATCATATTTGGTCCACATTTTATAAAATTTGAATGGCTTTTTCCCAAGCACACATTCATCATAGATTGAAACCAAAGCTGGAGAGTGATCATAGAAGCTTGGGAGCAAAAACTCAACATGACTTGAGTTATACATATGAATCTAGGAATCATTCACCAAGGCTCTGTCTAATCTACCCCAAACCCTTGAAACATGGTCTTGCTTATTGTTCCAAGTAAAAAAACAGCTTATAGCTTTTAAGTGAGTGAGATGACAATCTTCAATAAAATCACTGAAATCCCTAGTTTCAGCCTCTGAAAGTATAGCACCATCAAGTTTTCCTCATTGCTAATCAAAGCATTAAAATCTCCACATAGAAGCCATGACACATTCCCAATGGTTTGATGTATGTGATTGAGTTCTAACCATAATTCTTTTCTAGCCTCCAAATGATTATAACCATAAATTGATGATACGACACAATCCATTCTCCCATCCGTAAATTGATGATATGACTCAATTTACATGACCTCTTTGCTAACATGAGTCGTTTATTTTGCTTTCAGCAATATTAGTTATATTTTTAAATATAACTAATAAACATTTTTAACCCATGATTTAGAAAGGAAAGAAGGCGAGTAAGAAGAAATGGAGGAATCTTAAATTTATACAACTTTTTAAATTATCCTACATTTTGGTTTCTGAAGGACCAACACTTCAATCTACTGAAGAACAAGATTTATCTTTAGAATTTGCACTCTATTTCATAATACTGTATGGAGTAGGATTTATAGAATCCTTCACTCAATACCCAGATTAAATAATTGTGTTGTCACTCCTAGCTAAGTGCGAGTTGATAGCGAAGGGAACTAAGCAGGTCCCACTGAGCATCTTTCAACCAAGAATACCATTTTCCACAAGAAGAGTCCAAAATCAAAAGTCAATCGTTGAGTCAATAAAGCTAAAAAAAACATTTTTTAAAATTAGTTCTTCAAATCTTCCATGAGTTGAAATTAGTCCTACAAATGCTCATGATATTTTGAAATTGGTTCCCCAAAATTTTTTAAATCTCAACTTCTGATCTGCTGGAAACCTTTTTTCCAAAATTAATACCCAGATTAGCTATAATCAATACCGTGCATAAGAGTATAACTTGTATTGTATCCAAAAGTATCAAGATGACGAAATATGTCCGTCAATTTTAACCAGCACCAAACCATAAGGACTAACTTTAAAACTTTTCGAGGGGCCTAATTTTGAAGTATGAAGATTATTTCGGAGGACTAATTCCAAAATATGAAAGATGTGGGGGCCTAAGGCGGGAAACACCCAAAAATGGAATACTGGCAGCCAGTTGACTGACGTGAAGTATTTTTATCTCCGGCATATATTCTCCGCTCTTTATTCTGCCACAAAACTGCTCTCGACACTTTCCCTATCCTCTCTCCCTCTAATGGAGATAACCCTACCTTTCCCCTTCACAATAATCCTCGCCTTCTACGCCCTGTCCCTCTCACCATCGTTCAGCTTCTCTCCCAGCACCTTCCTACTTCCTCACCTGCGGCTCCTCAACGTCCGTTCTCCTCCCGACGGCCAGCCCGCCTCGAGTTTCCACCCCGACACCACTACACTCACCTCCAACCGCCGCCACCGAGACACTCACCAACCATCGGCGGCCGGATCCTCTCTCTACTCAAACGCCGCCTCTTTCACATCCCCTGCCTCCTACAAGTTCACCCCGATATCGCCGGGCACTTATATCATCCGCCCTCACTTCTTCCCCTTCCCCGCCCGGTCTCACCGCCTCTCCACGCAAATTTCAGCGTCTCGGCCCTCGCGACGCTTCGCCCTCCTGACCCGCTTCTCGCGTCCGGCCACGACCACGCCCTCCGTGATCAAGGAGTTCCTTCTCTATGTCGACTCCGAATCAACTCACGCTCGACCTCGTGCCGTATTCACTAGCCTTCGTCAACGCGATCGAGGTCTTCAACGCCCCTCCCTATCTCGTCGACGGCGATGGCTGCCACTTACGTAACTGCGGCAGGCGACGCTGGTCCTCTCGGCCAGCTGTCGCGAACAAAGGACTGGAGAGTCTCTACAGGGTCAACGTCGGCGGGAGTTTAGTTACCCCGGCTAACGACACTCTGTGGAGGACTTGGGTCACCGACGATCCATACATCTTTCGTAGTTCAGTCTCATTCAAGAACAGCACGAGCGCGTCGGCGATCGTGTACAGGTCGTCGGACCCCAGACAGACGCCTGAGATCGCGCCACAGAGCGTCTACGACACGGCCCGAACTATGGCCATCATGGAGGATATGGAGAATTCCGGTAACCAATTTAATGTCACGTGGAGTTTTAACGTAACTCCGGGCGAGACGCACTTCATCAGGATGCATTTCTGCGATTTCGTGTCTGCTCAGGTGACTGCGCTCTACTTTAATGTGTACATCGGGAACTTGTTAGCTTATGCTGATCTGCAACCGAGCTCGTTCACTGATCAGACGCCTGCTGCGGCTTTCTATTTGGATTTCGCCGCGGATTCAGACGAGTCTGGTCTGATGAATGTGAGCGTCGGTAGATCGAATAGGAGCACGCCGCAGGCCGCTAATGCGTTGCTGAACGGGTTAGAGATAATGAAACTTGGGCTCGATTCGACGACTACAAACACACACACAAATGGGGTCTCGATCAAAATTCTCATTCCTCCAATCGTCTTTGGGGTTATTCTTGTTCCGATATTGATACTGGCTGCGGTCTTTTTACATAAAAGGCGTCGGAAGCCGAAGAGTGCTGTGCGACCTAAGGCCTCTCCATCAGCATCCTCGTCTCCTTTCGCCCCAGATTTCGCTGGCGCTAGTACAAGTGAATCCAATTTCAACAGCACGTCACCAAGAGTCAACCTCGATCTGCAAATCCCCTTCGAAGAGATCAAGTTCGCAACTGATAATTTCAGCGACAGTCTAGTGATTGGTACTGGAGGCTTTGGCAAAGTCTATAAAGGTGTGCTAAGAGACGGCACCAAAATCGCTGTGAAGCGAGGAATGCCAGAATCAAAACAAGGCTACCCTGAATTCCAAACCGAAATCGAAGTTTTATCACGAATCCGCCACCGTCATCTTGTATCCCTCATCGGATACTGCAACGATCATTCGGAGATGATTCTTGTCTATGAGTACATGGAAAAGGGACCTCTGAAGAATTACTTATACGGGTCCAATAATTTACCGAGCCTGACATGGAAGCAGAGGCTCGAGATTTGCATAGGCGCAGCGAGAGGTCTGCACTACTTGCACACTGGATACTCTCACAACATCATCCATCGCGACATCAAATCCACCAACATTCTATTGGGTGGCGACTACTTAGCCAAAGTTGCGGATTTCGGGCTCTCAAGGGTCGGTCCCTCTTTTGGGGAGACCCACGTAAGCACCGGAGTCAAAGGAACGTTCGGGTACTTAGATCCGGAGTACTACAAAGTTCAGAAACTCACTGACAAGTCCGATGTGTACTCATTCGGTGTGATGATGTTTGAGGTTCTATGCGCAAGGCCGGTGATCGATCCCAAACTGTCCAGAGAGCAGCTGAATTTGGCGGAGTGGGCAGTGTTATCCCAGAGGAGAGGTAGACTAGAGAAGATTATCGACCCGAAGCTTGTCGGAGAGATCAATGAGAACTCGTTGAGGAAGTTCGGGCAGACTGCGGAGAAGTGTCTTGCTAATTATGGGGTCGATAGGCCGACGATTGGGGACGTTTTGTGGAATCTTGAGTATGCGCTGCAGTTGCAGATGACGGAGCTGAGGCGAGAGCCGTTTGAGGATAGCGGGGTCGTGGAGGCGCGGGT